AGACACCGGTATAACAAGACTAAACTAGGAGAGGAAACTGGCTCCGTAAAGTGCTACCACTTACAGAGCGATAAACACAAACAATACTCGGCGTTGAATGGTGGTGTGAGACTGATTTATATAGTGTGTGTTATTGGTAGCAGCTGTGTGTGATTGGTTTCAGGTGGGCTTGTGATTAGTGCAATAGAGTATGGGAAATGTAGTCCAGTGTGATGTGTAACAGTCTGTGAGGTATGAGAGTCAATATCATGGGAGGGAGACCTCTGGTGGTAAGTGGATGGACATTCATGACACATTACGTGATGAAGTCTAGACTACTGCGCATTTAGAATGTGTTCTTTCACTGCATATAGTTAATCAATATCACACATAGAGTGCCGTTTGAACAAGAAGTTAATTAAGAGACTTACTTTTTAGACACTATATTTCCTGTTTTTGTGACATTTTTCGACAACAGAAATAATTCCAAACTCAGCCACAACGCTGTTTTGCGTCTGAGCAACATGACGGTGTTTAGTTCCTGAATGAATCAACCGTTTAAATGATTCGGTTCAATTGCAATGACTCACTTATTAACAATGAATTGCTGCCACCTGCTGGTGTTTTAAATTTTTAAAATGTAAATACTTTCATATAACAGTATTCAACGTTTTGTTTGATATATCAAAAAATTATTTATGCATTTGTAATTGCAGGTTAAATGCATTCATGTTCTGCACTAAACAGTAGTGTGAAAATACATCTAAATGCCACAGATGCAGCTTCTGTGTTTGCTCTGCGTTGCAAAGATGGGATTTTATTCATACTGATTTAATTTGCTTGGTAACAGCCCAACTGTCTTATTCTAATTCACTGATTAAATCTAAGAATTTGACTGAAAAGATAATGCACATTTTTAGAAAAATGGCTTTATAAAGGTAAAAATGCCCATAAAAGGCAAAAATCTATTTAAACTTGTTGGAAAAGATTAATTTCTATCAGTGTGACCACCACACAGAATATGAAGAATTTCAAAAACCTTGAGTCAGCTGTCCAAGGCAGTCCTTAAAGTGCCCCTATTATGGCTCATGAAAGGTTCATATTTTGGTTTTGGGCGTCCCCAACAACAGGTTGACATGCATGCAAGGTCAAAAAACACTTTCATTGTCTTATGTTTAATTTTACCTTACTTGCTCACCGACTCCCAAACGATTCGCTCAACGATTCATTTTTCCAAACCCCTCCTTTGCGTGCCGTGATGCTAATCTGCGGTGATTGGTCCGATTGGTCTTGTTTTCATTTCATCATCCCTGTAATGCCTGATAATCCTATAAGATCATAGCATGTCACTGTAGCGAATCAGCTCATGGGGAAATATGAATAATTAACCATAACTAGGAAAAGGGATGATCAGGAATGGGTCCCCTCACAAGCATACTAAAATAGTCTAAGAATATCAAAGACAAAATACACAATGACAATAATATACTCAATGGCCTGAAGAAATATGTGTGTTCATTCAAATAACGGTTTTTCTATGAATTAACTAGAACACAGTCATTTCTACTCTGCTTTTCCTTGGGACAAGCAGGGATTTTCCCTGCTTTACATACTTTTGGCCAATAAACCCAGTGATATCAGCGTTGGTTGCCATGCAACAAAGAAGCCTGTTCGACTTCCTGGGGTGTTACGCATTCCGGGGGGAAGGGTTCATGGGTCCTCATATGGCTTGTTAACTGAGGTTACAGAGTATTTGTCATATAAAAAGAGAATATATAGTGTGTTGGATTGGTCCAGACGCTACATCACACTGTGCGACATGGATCTAATAAACTTGGCTATGACGTGTTCAGACAGTACGATGATGACACCTATTGACTCGTATGATATGACGCGCATTACTATAGAAGAATAAAACGTCATCAGCATGTGCAAGTGGTAAACAAAAAGAGCATAATAAATCACTCTTTAGCTGTTAAAGTTTTTATGTGTCCTGAAAAAAAACGAAGAGGCGAAAGGGCCACGATCACAGAAAACGCCACGATTATTTCACAATGGCAATCTTATGTCTAGGACAGCCGAAAATCATGCAGTGTGTCTTAGGCTTTACCATTCATCAAATTGTACTTAATTTGTTTTGTCTGCATTTTAGCACATATTTATTAGGAAATACAGCGTTATATTAATAATAATATAGTATTTAAAAGGGATAGTTCACCCAAAAATGAAAATTCTGTCATTAATTAGGCCTACTCACCCTCATGTCGTTCCAAACCCGTAAGACCTTCATTCAACTTTGGAACACAAATGTAATTTTTACAAAGCTACAAGATTAATTTTTGTGCGCATTCTGCGCAAACAATTCTTCTCCCATGTGTTACCGTACTCCGCCATTATGGAGAGTAACACAACGTGTTCTACGATGTGTTCTACGTCAGAAGCACCACATGCATGCGTCATGAAACTCTTTATAATGGCGGCAGATGGGATAATGAGAATTTTGATGAATTTTTGTTTCAAATTGTACTTAATTTGTTTTGTCTGCATTTTAGCACATATTTATTAGGAAATACAGCGTTATATTAATAATAATATAGTATTTAAAAGGGATAGTTCACCCAAAAATGAAAATTCTGTCATTAATTAGGCCTACTCACCCTCATGTCGTTCCAAACCCGTAAGACCTACATTCAACTTTGGAACACAAATGTAATTTTTACAAAGCTACAAGATTAATTTTTGTGCGCATTCTGCGCAAACAATTCTTCTCCCATGTGTTACCGTACTCCGCCATTATGGAGAGTAACACAACATGTTCTACGATGTGTTCTACGTCAGAAGCACCACATGCATGCGTCATGAAACTCTTTATAATGGCGGCAGATGGGATAATGAGAATTTTGATGAATTGATGAATTTTTGTTTGCTTTGCGCACAAAAAGTATTCTCATAGCTTTGTAAAATTATGGTTGAACCACTGATGTCACATGGACAATTTTAACAATGTCCTTACTACCATTCTGGGCATGGGAACATTCAGTTGCATTGCTGTCTATGGAGGGTCAGAGAGCTCTCGGATTTCATCAATATCTTAATTTGTGTTCTGAAGATGAACGAAGGTCTTACGGGTTTGGATCGACATGAGGGTGAGTAATTAATGACAGAATTTTTGGGTGAACTATCCCTTTAATTGGTTTTGTTTTCTGCTCAGACTTTTATAGCCAAAGGTGGATCGCAGTGTAATAACAACATACAGGGATATTAGAGATGCTAATAACGAAAGAGCCACGATCACAGAAAACGCCACGATTATTTCACGATGGCAATCTTATGTCTAGGACAGCCGAAAATCATGCAGTGTGTCTCAGGCTTTACCATTCATCAAATTGTACTTAATTTGTTTTGTCTGCATTTTAGCACATATTTATTAGGAAATACAGCGTTATATTAATAATAATATAGTATTTAAAAGGGATAGTTCACCCAAAAATGAAAATTCTGTCATTAATTAGGCCTACTCACCCTCATGTCGTTCCAAACCCGTAAGACCTTCATTCAACTTTGGAACACAAATGTAATTTTTACAAAGCTACAAGATTAATTTTTGTGCGCATTCTGCGCAAACAATTCTTCTCCCATGTGTTACCGTACTCCGCCATTATGGAGAGTAACACAACATGTTCTACGATGTGTTCTACGTCAGAAGCACCACATGCATGCGTCATGAAACTCTTTATAATGGCGGCAGATGGGATAATGAGAATTTTGATGAATTGATGAATTTTTGTTTGCTTTGCGCACAAAAAGTATTCTCATAGCTTTGTAAAATTATGGTTGAACCACTGATGTCACATGGACAATTTTAACAATGTCCTTACTACCATTCTGGGCATGGGAACATTCAGTTGCATTGCTGTCTATGGAGGGTCAGAGAGCTCTCGGATTTCATCAATATCTTAATTTGTGTTCTGAAGATGAACGAAGGTCTTACGGGTTTGGATCGACATGAGGGTGAGTAATTAATGACAGAATTTTTGGGTGAACTATCCCTTTAATTGGTTTTGTTTTCTGCTCAGACTTTTATAGCCAAAGGTGGATCGCAGTGTAATAACAACATACAGGGATATTAGAGATGCTAATAAATAAATAAATGAGTAAATATTCTTTGGTAGAATCATCCATATCTTGGCCTCTTTGGATGGCTTTTAGTTAAGGTCATCACAGACATGCAGCAAAAAGAAGAATCTCAGCCACAATCCCTGAGGCCCTGAGTGCTGATTTCAGCCTCTGTGTGTGAGGACACTATATTAACACACCTCACTAAATGGCACACTGCTTATCTCATTCATAGCTTAGTGGAACGGGAGCTTATGAAAAAATGAGCTTTCAGTTTATCCTTCCCATTACCATCCAAACACAACACAGTATTTAGAAAGCATGACTGTCCAGACAATGGCTCTGCAGACAAGAACAGATGATGTCAAGAGTATCATCTGTTGTGATACAGCATGCATTTGTTCTGAATTGCACAAAATTTGCTGCAAGGATTGGTGGTTCAACACTAAACATGCAGATTTGCTAGTACATTTTAAAGACATCATATAAGGGTTAGGGTTAACGCTTACTTACAATAAACTGGAAATTTAGATTCATGACTTTCTTCCATTCATGACATGACCAGATAACAGAAAATATCCTTAACTCTCCCTGTTATGATATATGAGGACGCTACAGAATGTAATTGCCATATTTTAACTGAAAATTCATTTGTGTACAGCAGAATGGTGTTTTAGGTGTGAATTAAAAGTTCAATTGAAGAGCCCCTCTGCCTTTTATTCACTTGATCACAAGTGTTTTCTAGCAGAAGTAGTTCTAGTCCTCTATATTTGTCTTATGACATCTCTGCAGCACATGACTATGCTGGTTTTAGGATTTTTTTTTTTTACAAAATGTTCAGCCATTTTTGGGATGTAATATAACTAACAAAGAGCATATTGAGCCAGCACAATGAGGAAGGATTATCAGCACTCCTGCCCCATCCTATCTCCTGAAGGGTTCAGAGGTCACTCCTCTCTCATGGTTATAAACACTGTGCTGTCGAGAGGAAGGATCATAATAATACTATGTTTTAACCACCTTCACGCTTCAAGTTCACACACTTTAACGGGCTGGAGCGCAGGCTGTCGTAAGTACTGCTTACAGGATGTTTTGACTTAAAGAACCATTCAATAAATTAGATTATTTTGTATTATATGTATGGCTAATTTTTTGTCTATAGGTTTTAGTTTCCCCCTAGTTGTGGTTGATTTACACGTGTTCACATGCAGTTGGGGGATTTATTTTTTCTTTTTATTCTCGGAACCTAAGTGCAAGAAATCATAAGTCATAGCAAATCTGTGAAGGCTAATTGTTTCTGCTGCACATATAAAAAAGCTAACTATTTAAATTTTGAATCCACTGTATCCCACCAGTGCTGTGATCTTTATGTACTTTCAACTTTGCATTGACTTTTGTTTGGCGGACGTATTATTCCTTCCAATAGGGAAGTTATGTTTCATAAATGATTATCTGACTGCAATATATTCCTCACGTTTACACTCGGTGGCATATAAATGTCTTTTGTTCTTAGTGTAGGTATACATTTTTTCCTGTAAACACAATTTGCAGTAGATGTCATATTTCCTTAACATGATAAACTCATGAAAGACCGCTGCAAAAGCTGAAGTATGTTGTAGTGTTTACATATTGTTTTTAATATACCAGATTTCTAGAAAAAGGAATGTTGGCTTAATCTTCTATAACCAATTAGCAGAATATAGTATGCAGTACAAGCTACAGAAAAAAAATGGCAGTGCTTTTGGAATAAATCTTTTGGGAAAACTCACACCCAGATCCATTTCACAAACATTTTTCTTATTTGTGGCTCTTGTATGCAGATCGAAGAAAAGACTCTCATGCTGAGATCTCTGTTTTGTTTGGTAGCAGATTGATCACACTTTCCCCTCCAGGCTCACAGTAGTTGATGTAGGTGGACCATTAAGGCTCTTCAGTACTTTTCTAGCCCCCTGGAAAAAGGGATGGATCTAGATTTTTTCCCCCTACAATAACATGGCTCTCAAGATGAAAACCCATTTAGTTTTTTTTTAAATAATCAAATAAGTGATTAATGTCGGATTTAAGTGCAACAAACATCTGCATTATGTAAAATAGGTTTCGGTTCGGGTCTTTTGTACATGCTACTTTAAATATGAAACTGTTTTACTCAAGATGCCTTAGGAGTTACCAAAGATGAGCATGACTGAAAGTTTTTTTTCTTTCTTCTTCCTACTAACATTTGAGTATAAAAATCAAACCCCAACAATAAAACGAGCTAGATAGGTTAGATGATTACCGTAAAAGTCCAAAACTGTCGCCAGTAGTTCATACTGCTGTTGAAACATTACAATGAGACCAGTTTTCCTGTCTGTTAATGTGATGTTCGTCTTAAGTGTTACTGATTTTTGTAGAACAATTTGGTAACACTTTAGTATAGGGATCAATTCTCACTATAACCTAGTTGCTTAGTAGCATGCCTATTATTAACATATTAGCTGTTTATTAGTGCTTATAAAGCACATATTCTGCATGACCATATACTACATCCCTAATCCTACCCAATACCTAAACTTAACAACTACCTTACTAACTATTAATAAGCAGCAAATTAGGAGTTTAATGAGGCAGAAGTCGTAGTTAATGGTTTGTTTATAGCGAGAATTGGACCTTAAAATAAAGTGTGACCAACAATTTAGATGTATTGAGTTGGATTTCTGTTTCTTCACAGAGGTTTCTAAGCGAGGAGATAATGAGAGTTCACACACATACCAGATTCTGCTTTCTCTGCGTGCTGACCCTGCTGTATCATCAGTGCAGTCACTGCCACGAAGGAGGGTCCCACCATCACCACGGGCACAACCACAGTGACCATGACCACGTTCACAGTGACCTGCAGATTTCAGAATTGTCCTGCGATGGTTTATCAGACCAGTTTGTGCACAGCAGCCATGGCGAACCTGCAGAGAACGAGCAACACTACTACATCCAGCAGTTGTTCTGTCGATACGGCCACAAGGATCGTCTGGATTTTAAAGGCTTCCAGAGTCTGCTGTTGAGTTTAGGGCTGGGCAAAGTGCGCGTGGTTGGGCTGGAGCATGAAGATCTGGGCCACGATCATGTGGCACACTTAGATGTTCTCGAGGTTCAGGAAGGTCAGCACTCACATTCAGCCGGCCATCCGCATATTCATCAGAAGCCCCAAATCTCACACAAGACCCATCAACATTCCCACCATGAGAATGAACAACACGGCCCTGCCGAGGAGCTACCGTGCAGCAAAACACTTGGCACCAGAGCCGAGAGCACCACTCACAGTGGATCTGAGGGACACGATCATGGGGGACATGATCATGACCATGACCATGAACATGATCACCATGACCATGACCATGAACATGAGAAAGACAGTGATCACAAACATATCCACAGGCATGTTACGGACAGTCCTCATACTCAAGATGACCATGACCAACTTGAGCAAAAGAGTAGTGAACATGCACAAGAAAATAATGATCTCAGTGACCAAAACCACCATCATCACGACCACCATCACCACAAGCATCCCCACCCTCATCTCCATGGTTCTGACAGCGTGGAGCACAACACAGAAACCCCTCATCTCACACCCAGAATACAGCCTTCTGCCCCAGCTGAGCTACCCACCACACAACCCAGAAGAAACAGCAGACCACCTAAAGCCAGAGCTCACCGAGGCCGCAACAAGACTAGCATCAGTGTTACTCAGGCTGGCGAGCTGGAGACAAGAAGAGATGACCATGGTCATAGCAGCCAGGATCACAGCCTTATTCAGCCGCAGAGGGGCAGGAGAGAGGTTCCAGGAGAAGATCTGTCTGTGAAATCACATGCACATGGTGTTCTTCACCAACATGAGGAGGTACATCTTAGTGTCTGTCCTATGTGGCTGTTTATGAAATATGAATGGCTTTGCCCTTCAGATGTGCCTCAAGAATAATTTGAAATGGTTTCTCTTAGTTGTAGAAATACTTTGTGGTATCAAAGCACTTCCTTTGTAACAAATAAAATAGTTACTGCCAAACTTCAGATGACCTGCTTTAAGCAAGGTATCCATGCTATAATGCATAATTCATAGTTGTTATAGTTCATAGTTTTGTGGAATAAGCAGTGGAGTACAGTAATAAACCAATTTAACATTTGATGTTAAAATAACATATTAATGCCCATGCACCTTCTCTGCTGCTGTAGCATTTTTTTTTGTCCTTTTTAAATACTCTGATATATTTTGTGTTTTTTTCCCTTGTTTGTACACTTTACCGTAATTATCAGGAGCTTAAAATGAAATCTTAGTATATTGAAGTGTAATGTTTTGATATGTATCTTTTGGTAATTATTTTTCATTCTTATTTGCAGATCAATACATTTAATGTTTTCATCCATCTTCCTTATTGTAGGATGAAGTATATTTAAATAAAAATGTATTTAAGCATTGTTCATTGATCAGTACCTTTTAATATTTAATTATTTTAATACTTAAGTACATTAAAAATCTAATACTTTTTTACTTTCACTCAAGTAAAATTGAAAATGAGTACTTATATTTTTAATATTTAATTAAGGCATCTGTACATTTACTCAAATAATTGATTTGTGTACTTCATCCACCACTAGGAATTGAAGGTTATTTGGTTAATTAGCATAATTAGGAGTTGACGCTAAACTAACCACCATGCTGATTAGACTTTCAGACAGCCATTAACTAGTGGATTCCTGGTACTAATATTAGATATATTTTATATGTGATTTTATATTTCTTGTATGTGTTGAAAAATGAATAAAGGAGAATCGAGCAATGAATCAAAGTAAAACTCTGTCTCTCCCTCAGTGTCTGAATTTAACGGAGTTACTACAACAATACGGACTGAGCTCGGGTTCTCTCATATCTCCAGTGCAGTTCACCTATTTATGTCCAGCACTGCTCTATCAGATAGACAGACGCTTCTGCATCCTTCATTATCACCACGTTGAGGCTGAAGTACAAGATGAAACATCTTCAGGTACAAGTGGTCCTGTACTAGTATAATTCTATTTTTACAGAGTATATTCACTCATCTACAATTCTCATTATCTGTGTAGTTTGCTAGCTTATAAAGAGGGTAAACAGACATAGTAAATGGTTGAGAATAATTGCTAAGCCATATTAAAAGTTTAATGTTGATAGAGTTACCTTAGTTGAAACTCTTTTGAGTCCAGTGACAAGAGTCCCGGTCTAATCCACTGATTGTGTTTCTGCAGTGTGGGTCTGGATGTGGGGCTTTGTGTCGATCACCATCATCAGCCTGCTGTCTCTGCTGGGTGTTGTTCTGGTGCCCATCCTTAACCAGTCCTGCTTCAAGTTTCTCTTGACCTTCCTGGTGGCACTGGCAGTGGGAACCCTCAGTGGTGATGCCTTACTGCATCTACTCCCTCATGTGAGTTTACTCTTTGGGGCAAACTAAGATTTAACCGTTGCAAAGGTACAAACTACACAGCCCAAGGAATCAAACCTTTTTTATGCCTTACAGTCTCAAGTTGGCCATGATCACAGCCATGGAGGACACTCAGAGGAAGAACCTGCAGAGTTTTTTCTTACCAAGTTTGATGGAGTTTGGAAAGGACTGACTGCACTAGCAGGAATCTACCTCCTCTTCATCATTGAACATTGCATTGGCATGTTCAAACACTACAGGGACCAAAGGGTGAGAGGCACCACAATGTTTAAACACAGGAAAGAGGTGTTAGAAATCTTGCAAAAGTGGCAAGTAAGCTGCTTTTTACTTCATACGTGCTTGTTCACGACTGACAGAGCTGAGAGCTATGGAAGACTAAAATATAATCCATAATTGCTGCAGAGAGTGGGGCTTTTAGTGCACAGCAAAACAACCTTGGATTTTATTCTCAGAACCTAGTGCTTATAAAGGTGCTTACTTCCACAGGGAAGCCTCTGCCAAGGGAAGAAGAAAGGAGAGCAGGCAAAGATTGGGAGGAAGTTGTCAGACCACAAACTCAACAGGCATTCAGATGCCGAGTGGCTCCATCTGAAGCCTCTAACAGAGGGTGGGTCTTCATCATTTTGCCATCAAATCCCTGCACTTTATTTGGCTTTTAAGTAAAGTTGTGAGTGTTGATATCCTGGAGATGTTTCCGAGTCTCTTCCAATGTACTGAACTTTTGTAAGGATGTTATAAGAAAAAACTTGAGATGTAACTCAGCATTGTAGTTGAGATCCGCTCATTTGAGTCTGAGTCCAAGGGATGGATTAGTCAGACAAGACCGAGACCAATGTGGTTGAGTCAGAGTTTTGAGTCTGAACAATTCAGCCAGTGTACTATGACACTGGAGTAACTCCTTCCGTTCTTTTTTCATGCAGGAGAAGGTACAACATGTGAAGCCGGACACAATGACACTCAGATGACGGAGTTGCAGCCTTTGGATTCACCCAGCAAAATGCCGCTCTCCATCTCTGATTCAGATCACCCCTGCAAGGAGCCAGTAAAAACAGAAGAGGACAGTAAGCCAAAGGCAAAATCAAAAAAGCATGGACATGGGAACGGACATGGCCATGGTCACTCCCACCACGGGCACTGTCACTCTGACCAGGAAATGAAGGATGCGGGCATCGCCAGCATAGCATGGATGGTGATCATGGGAGATGGCATGCATAACTTTAGTGATGGACTTGCTATAGGTCAGTTTCTGTACATTGAAAACATTAGCAGATTTGTTTGTCTTGAATTAAAAGGGTTTCTGTATCTGAGGAACTGTGTTTGTCACCTACAGGTGCTGCTTTCAGTGCTAATATTACAGGTGGCATTAGTACTTCAGTGGCTGTGTTCTGTCACGAACTGCCCCATGAACTAGGTAAGTGGCTTAACCAGTTGCAGTATACCGAGAGACAAAATGTTGAAATAGCAGATCCATTTTCTTACATTTGACAGATGTGTGCAGTAAAAGTTAAAAAGTAAAAGCCTGTCCACACCAAGAACTAAAACTATATTAGAGTTCACAACATCAACGAACAATAATATTCTGTTAGTCATGTCTGTCGCTTTAAATGCTTGCGCTCTATAAAGTGGATTCGGATTGGCTGTCAATGTTTTTATTATTCATCAGCTGGAAAAAACATTCTGAAAGTGATTTTATCAATATTGTTCCTCTGTGTCGTTTTCGTTATCACTGTGGTGTGGATTCCCCTGTTCTCATAGAATTAGAATAATTATTAAAACGTTATCCTTGTTAACATCGTCCTTGGTGTGAGCGGGCCTTAACCCAGAAAAAAGAACATGTCAGTGAGAAAGGTCAGACTTAGCTTTAGGGGTGATGTGGTGGTCCTGTTTTGAGTCTGCAGGTTTTATCGCCAGTGAGGTCTCCTTTATCCATTATCAATTTACATCAACTCTGGAACATCAAGGCGAAGAGCTCCGTAATCGTTATTGTAGTATAAGATATGCAGCAAACCTTGTGTTTTGTGTTTGCTGATTGTTTGTTGTGAGCTATTGATTCCTCTTCTTATTCTTCAGTTGCCAGAGATGCTTCATGGTGACAGTGAGGAGCACAAGCGCTGTGAGATGGGTCACTTTGTCCTGCAGAACTTGGGCATGCTCACAGGGTTTGGTCTCATGTTGCTGATCGCCATCTTCGAGGATCACATTGTGATTGACTTTGGCTTCTAGCCGGAGCCTGAGGTCAGGGGTGGCGTCATTCATTAGCTACATTCACACACGTGCTTTGCCTTAAAGTGGCTTAGTTTTGTGATGGTACAGTCTTGCAGGCATGTCTCAAAAGACAGCATCAGTAGCTTACAGTGGACATGGACATGCAAACTAATGTGTTTACATTTCATCATCTCTTCCTCTCTAGGCCACTCAAAACGGTTGCTTGTCGTCTTCAAGGTCTTTTGTAGTTGTAGCTTCTAGACTGTTCTCTCTTGTCCTTATTCGGTTCTTTTTTTTTTTTGAGTATGTGTGTCCAATCAGACATATCCACAGCACATGAGTAGCACTCCCCAGTATTTGGGTTATCCCTTTAATATTGTAGTATTTTAATTTTTTATAGGACTGTGTCCTAGAGAGAAGCAGCTATTCATTATTCACTCATTCAGTGTCATGTTTAGCTCTTTCATTCATCTGTATTGTATCTTAGTCCATTCATTCGTAACTGGCGTGTTGTGCTGTGGATATCTAGTGTGTCACACCATCTCAGTGTCAGGCACAGAACTGTGCTAATATGGTGCAACAGAGTCCAACTGGCATCAACTCTGCAGTTTTTTTTTTTATTGAGAAGTACTGGTCAGTATTGTGTGCCAGGATCATGAAAAACAACACACTTGAGCTCTTTTCTTTAATGGATTGTGCTTTGCTGTCAACATTGACTACTTGTTTGTTTCTTACAATATATTTACTGTTCATAGCGATGGGAGCGTCCTCAGTCTTAAAATTTCATTCGCTTGTCTTTTTTATTATTATTTTATATTTTTATTGGCTAAGATTGTACTAGTGATTTGGCCAACTCTGAGTATTGAAGAAATAGGTATGCAACTGTGTGTTGAATAACCTCTGACACGGTGCTGCCAAAAGAGCGATTGCATTCATGAGGTCAGCTGAATAGTGACTGAACAAGTCCAGTATTAAAGCTAATGCTAAAGCACTGTGATTTTAAATGAAATGTCCATCAAGGAGTACATACATTTTCTTTGGGAAGTCTATTTGTTCATTGATAAAATAGTCATTATCATGATCTAGTCTACTTTGAGTTGATACTTTCATATCCAAGTGGAGTTGTAAATAATGATCTTGGTACAGTTGAAGAAGTTCATGAAATAATTATCTTCCCCAAAAGAGATTTGCTACTGAAGACTTGTGTTTTTTGTTGAAGAAGTTGGCATTTTGAAACACCTTTTGTTACTTTATTTTAATTATATGACATGTTTGGTATTACTGGATAATTTGTGCAAAATTCAGAATGTTATTTTGTGAGACATCAGCACCTTTTATACACTGACCATCTAAAAACTTGCTCTCTGGGAGAACCATTCCTTTTTTTAACCTAAACATTGAGTTAGCCATTATGAAATGTTCTTTTTTGACAATCTTAAACGCTCTCGTTTGTTGACACCCTCCTATTATTAAAATTAATGCACACATTGGCCTTATGTGCACTTGTATGAAACTACAATCAAATCTATAGAACGTCTGTTCATCTGTCCCCCATTGATGTGATTCTTGTTAATGAGTGCAACATTTTGATTGTGCCAAATATGGGCTGCGTTTCTAAAATTGCGCACAAGTGCTGCCTGTGCCCGCAGTCGCCTCTACACATTCCACTGGCTGTGTTCGCTGCTTGAATCTTCTACCGTCATGAGTTGGTGGGGCATGTTATGTGATTCATGCTTATCCTGTCACCATGTGACATCCATTTATTTGTTCTCGTGGGTGTGTATCGTTATTAATTGCATTCATCAAATATATTGATGGATGGAAACATGCATGAGACAAGTGAAAGTGTCTAGTTTTCAGCTCTGTTATAAAATGGAGAGATGAGAACACTTCCAGTTGATTTCCTCTTTCCCTGAAGAACTTAATTTTCACAGCTTGAATGTAAAGCCAATGAGTTTTAGGGGTCATGTGAGCAAACCTAATCAGTCTTCAGAGATTAGGTCTAAATCCTGTGTATGTCTTTGAAATGAAGTTGTCCATTTTGTTAAACCGAAACCGAGCTCTAGAGCTCAAATGAAACACCTCAGTTAAGTGGTGCAAAGAAATAAACTTGATAATAAATATAAATTACACACACCAATTTTCTTAATGCTTTACAGTGTATTCCAAAAAAGGACCATCCAGATATTTACTTACATTTGAGTATTGTCAGTTGTTTGGGAAGACATTTATTTTTAAATCCTCTGTTTACACAGCTTGGATGTTAAAGCGTTTTCAATACATTTGCCATTCTTGCTGATTGTCTGTGCATTTCTTTGGCAGAAGTGGAAAATAAAGTTTGCAAAGCTTACTTTGAGTGTTTCAGCTGATTAAAAATCTATCTGAAAACTGTTCTACTCATATATATATATATATATATATATATAATTATTTAAAATGTATAATCTATTAACTATTAAAAATCTATTCATTATATATTTTTTATTTCTATTAATATTTTTTTAATTTCTAAAGACTTATTCATGTGTTTATTAAAAAGTATAATTTGTCTCTAGACAGATGGTATTTCGAAATCTAAAATATTATTTAGCTACAAATACTTTACTATAGAGTGAAGTAAAGGATACAAGAAGTGTATCTAGGAGTTAAGCTGACACAGTAAGGCCACGCCACGACGGATCCAGTGCTCTGGAGGCACGTCTGAATTCAGGGTCATTGCTATGACGTAGTTGGTGGAGTGTCCAGTGGTGGAAAGGGTTCCACGTCTCTCGCTGGTCTTGTAGACAGGAGAAATGTAGCACTGACGCTCGGGAATGTCCTGCTTCTTCATGGGCTTCAGCCAGATCTGCAGATAGACAGTGTGATGCGTAGATGTGAAGCATTTTCTTTGCTCATCCTCTCTCCCTACAATCTGATTTGATTACTATTTAAATATGTAATTTCAGTGTAATGGGATGTGGTTGGTTATTTCAGCATTTCTGAGTCACTAAGAAAATGGTGGTGAATCAACACTCATGTTTCCTTTGTTGATAATCAAACCCATTTTCCTTGGCATGGTATCCAAGATAACTCAAAAACAAAGAAGACCCAAAACCCCTTTATCAGAAGCACTAAATGTACCTCCTCTGAAACAAACTGGTACAATTTAAAGTTGGTGGTTTAATATGACTTATGGATGTTTATTTTCAGTGTTTCAGATGAAATGCTTTCAGCTGAAATTAATAATGGCCTTCGAAAGAAATTAGCATTTCAAAGTTTTACCGTAAGTAACAAATGCATGTTTTTAATTAAGTTCAGCTCTTGTCAAAAAGTTATTTTGGTAATGAGTTGTCCTGAAATGTCTGAATATTAAACGGCAGTGAATGCATTATTTATTGTGGCAATGTGCATTGTGCAGAATAAAGAGGGCAGAATTAATAGAAATCTTTGTTTTCTCTTCCTGTTCTGTTAAGAATACTTAACAACCTATTTGAATCTCACCTGCTATGATATTCATGTCATATATAGACATAACTAGAATTCCATTCATATACTGTATTTAAATACAAAACAACATTTCTATTATGAAAGAGTTTTCTTCTTAAACTTTCTTCAAGAGACCCAAGAGTTGGTTGAAGTACATGGTGATGAAAAGAGCCGTCTTCAAGGAAATGTGAAAAATGGGGTGTCAGACTCAGCACAGACCACCTGCTGGGTGTATGCTGCAGAATTTCAGATTCCCCTTAAAATGTTTTATGTATGTATTATTATTTGGTATTGAAGAAAGAATAAAGCAATTATCTAGCTGTGTTGCGGCTACACTGGAATTAAAATCGCATTTTTGCTTTCTTAATACATTATCAGTACCATTTTATTTTTAAAGTGTGCACATTTGATTTTTTTAGCATTATTGTCCCTTGATTTAACATTTTTGCATGCTGCTGTGAAATTAGAAAATCTTTTCTCTCAAAATTGATTCTTGCTTCCATAGTTATTGTTATAGTTTGCCTACAGGCAAATACATTTTTTGAACTGCACTGAAACTTTTGAATTGCAAGTATTTGCAGGTTTCATTTTTCAACCGACTGCTCATTCCAAAGGAATGACTTTCTTGTGACTTAAATCTCTGTGTGTAATATGTACCCACATCAGGAGCTATGCATGATGCCATCAGCCTCATTTGACTGAGATTATACATTTTACAGCTTCTCACCACAGGCATGGCGTCATGCAGGATTTTGGAGAAAGACTCTGCCAAGCGCTTTGTTCTCCGATCCCATCGGGCACCATCCAAGAAAAGGCCACGGATGTAAACACCTGAGCAAAAATAAAGAAAGTACTGAGGATTAATAATTAGAAAAAAAGGGTACTGCATAAGGGCTTTCACACTATAGGAACTAGCCCCCAAGCTACTACTAAACTAGCTTGGGTCCCCCAAGAACTACATTTTCCCCTAGGGCCAGTTTCCGCCAGTAAGAACTCTTAAGTGACGTAATCCGGCTAACAACAATGTCATCTGAACACAGCACTTAACAACGTCAACAACTGGAGGATGGAAAAGTGCCTGGACTTAAGAGTCAGTCCATCGATCACTGTTTTCCATATTCGTGGAGTTAGTTTGTGGAGTAAGTGTATGCAAACTGTGTATTTAAATGACTTTTTAAAAAATGGTGGAAGCCAGTGACCAAAACCATTGACATGCATTTGGCCAATCAAGAGCCCGAAAAAGGGTATTTATTGTTTGAATTTCTTAAAAGATGACAAAATTTGAAAGCTGAGACTACCTAAAGTAACCTACTCTGTCTTGTCTGTCAGCGCGTTGTCAGTTTACTCTTTGCTTAGCAATGTATTTTTCACTTATGTAAGAATGTGTGGCGTGAGAGCGGCATGGATTGTTGGACATAGCAACAGTAACGAAGGGGGGTGGGTCTTTGTGAAGGGTCACTTTAGTCCCCCCAAAAGTCATTCCTATAACTAAAATGGTTCCCAGTTACAGTAGTGCAATGCAGACATGCCAAAAAAGCTTGTTCATCCACCATTGTTATAGGAACTATGCAAACGTCCCCCCGGGTTAAAGCCCATCATGAGAATTTTAGAATAAAATTTAAAATGAAAGGGAAAGTTTACACAGGAATAAAAAAAATTCTGTCATTAATTACTCACCCTCATGTTGTTCCAAACCTGTAAGACTTTCGTTCATCTTCAGAACACAAATTAAGATATTTTTGAAGCATTCTGAGAGCTCTCTGACCCTCCCATAGACAGCAAGGATCCTAACACGATCAAGGCTCAGAAACATAGCAAGGAGATCGTTAGAATAGTCCATGTGACATCAGTGGTTCAACCATAATTTTACAAAGCAACAAGAATACTTTGTGTGCAAAGAAAACAAAAATAACTTTATTCAACAATTTGTCTCCTCCGCGTCACCCTACAGCGCCATTTTGGAGAGTATCACATACATAAAAAAACGTATGCTGTTCTGTGTCAGCAGCACTATACGTGGATATGCTGTTTACGTTGTTTACGCTTTGATCTGAATGTAAACAACATGTCCACGTACATACGTTGTTTACGTATGTGATACTCTCCAAAATGGCGCTATAGGGTGACGCGGAGAAGACGAATTGTTGAATAAAGTCGTTATTTTTGTTTTCTTTGTGCACAAAAAGTATGCTCGTAGCTTCGTAAAATTACGGTTGAACCACTGATGTCACATGGACTACTTTAATGATCTCCTTGGTACATTTCTTTTCAAGACATGAGGGTGAGTAATTAATGACAGAATTTTCATTTTTGGGTGAACTATCCCTTTAACAAGCCAAAAACAGATATAGTTTAACAAGTGAGCATGAGAACGTAGATGTAACCTTTTTACTTAGTCTATAAAAATTGACTGCTGAAATCAAAATATATAGGGAATGTAAAAAACTTTGCAAAGCAAACTGTTGAATCACAATTCCCAATGTCACTACTATGCAAGACTACAGGACACACATTAAACCAATATCATGAAACCTGTTACCTTAAATTACTTTAAATTCAGAAGCAGCTGATTTTACATAGACTGATCATTGACCGTGTTCACACTAGAGTCACATTCATCCATCTTCAGCAATGGCTATAATTAAAACATACTGCTTTAGGTCAAACTGTGTGTTGTGGTGACTAATGTGATGTCTCCTCACAAGGACACAGGCTTGAATGGATGTCACTGGTTAAAGTTTAGCTGGGAGCGTAGTTTGATTGGCTTGTAAGCTCAAATATTTAAGACACGAGGAGCTGCAAAAAATGTACTTAAAGTATAATTTTTCCATTAAAAATTTAAGAGTAGAAAATCCTCAAAATAATACTTGAATAATAAAGTACTTTACACCCCTGCACACAAATGCACACTAACTAAAGGCCCATCCCATTTTATACACTGACTGACTGAACTATAAAAAATAAAGTAGACACAACTAGTTAGTATCTGCTAAAGTCTAAAGACACTCATAAACAGCCTCATGCAGTGTGTGATGGCCTCAGAGAGATGGGTTTCCTCTGGAGAGATGCTCATCATGTACTGATGAAAGAGCAGCAGGGGGCTGATGTCAGAGCACTGTAATGTTGACTCTGATTGATGGCACTCAGCCGCGGCGAGGGGTTAATGAAACGGCATCTCTCTTCCCTTTTGTCACTTGTTACCCATTTCCCTCTCATATATTTTACATTTCATGCTTGTCAGTACTCCCTCTTTGTCTTTCTCACCATCCTCTGGGGGGTTTTTGTGTTCCTTGTCCTCCATGACTTCAAAGTCGAAGCTGAGCAGGTCAATGGGGATGGTGTATTTTCGGGCATAATTCTGTTGGCTTCCAGTGAGGAAGGCCTGAGTGAAAAAGAACCCGGACATCCAGAACACTGCAGGCGTGCCATCCACATACCAACCCTGTGTGGATGACACAGATGATACTGATATTAAAGACCAAAATCAAGAAACACAAGCAGTTACAACTAATTCTAGAGGCATAACTTGAGGGCCAAAAAGAAACCTTTGGAATGTAACAGGCTCAAAGTTTTATTTTTTCCTTTTATTGAAAGGAAGGGTACTTGTATAATACATTTACAGTTCAGTCCTTTGCAGAAGCAGTGTTGTAATCTGAGCTCACTGAATGAGACAGTACGTCAGCTGCATTTCATGTGTTTTTCCCGTGGCTCACAATGCACACTAGAATGCTTTCTGCTTTAACTGCTTTATGTATGAATGTGCATTTTAGTCTCCAAATAACTCACTGGAAAACAATCGATTTGAAGTAAAGACTTTGAATTAATCACTATCAATTATTATGAAGTATTGTGGTTACATTTTTATTACAAGACTGTGTTTGTGGACACATCCAAAAATGTATTTATATAGCATTTGTATTCATATGGCAGTTATTTGAAATATACGTAAATCTTATTATGTAAATTTCCTTACTGTAGCTCTTGGTAAATTTAATGCATCCTTGTTTAATAAAAGATTTAAAAAATTTTTTAAACATCTTACAGACACCAAACTGAGTATTAAATGACTGTAGCCTTTAAAACTCAAAACTGAGTGATTACTGTGATTTCCACATGACAAAAGTGTGTATGGCACAACTTATGGTAGAATGAAAAGTATTCTACTATACATGCTTTATGACTACAGAGTTTACCTGTAAAAACTGGAGTCTTTCAAGAAAATCATTGATGTAGCTTCCCAGTGGTTTAAGGCTGGGATACGACTTCTTCATCCACATGGCAGGGATGCGACCCTTTAGAATGCTGCTTACAACTTCCTCAAGTTCAGCAGACATGACAACCAGACCCTATGCCAAGACACAAACATGCATTCATTAATTGGTTTTGTGTCCTTTTACCTTGATTGTTTTAAATGATCAAGAGTGTTCTTTTTTATTCTTTATTTCTTTTTTTAGAAATACAGTATCACTCAAAATATTGGTTAAGTGTACATTCTGTGTACATTCCTCATATCAGTCATATTTACAGTATATTGCCATTTTCCCTTCTAGGGAAAAGTTACGTCGTCCTTTTCTTTATGTCTTTCTAAGTGCTGGTTTCAAAGGTTTGTATTTGATGTGGTATAGAGATATATGATCATAAATTATAATGAAAGGGTAAAGGAGGGAGGTTCCTCAGAGCAGAAATCAAGCTGTAGTCAGGAAAGATAAAGGGGTTAGATTATAGGATAAGGGTTCACAATGTGTAAATGAAAGCCAGGGTTGTGATCAGATCTCAGCATATGCATCCATCTCACCCTGCGGGGCGGTAATGCTTACTGGGATCAGAGCTGTCAGTCAAACTAAAGGACAAGGAGGCTCAGCTGGAGTGCACAGCATTAGGACATGCCCTGGGGCACAATGAATTTTCCCCGTATCTTTCAGCAGGGAGTGAATGTTCAAAAACTTTTCTTAGTTTGCTTTGCTTCTACATATATAAAGGTTTGTGTGGAAATAGTAGCATAATTCAAAAATTGTGCTAATTTGAAACAATGGATCAACGCAAACAAAACCATCATGCATTTTAGAACTTCTTTTTACAACTTCCCCCCCAAAAAAACATGATGCTACCATATACTCCTGAAAGCTAATTGAATGTGGCTAACTGGAAAAATCAGAGTACAATTTGTGCCTGGAAACATGATCGATAGAAGTGCTGAACCTTCACAGTGGTTTTGCTCATGTTCTGACCTTGATGGCCTTCTGGATGTTGACACACGAATCCCGTATAGTCTGGAGGAGTTTGTTGAATCGTCCCATCTCCTGCACCAGCACTGTGTTCATGCTTTGGTTGTAGCTGGTGGGGTACTTGCGCATGGCAGCATCTGTATCGAAATCTTGAGGAAGTTTATTGAGAATGTCTGCAGCCACCTCGTACACCATGTCATCTGAAGATGCAGCACTGCCACCTGAAGAACGGGACTGTGAGGAAGAAATGGGGCAAAAAATTTACTCAAACCATTACAAACATCAAATAGGTCATTATAGTACTTTGAGAGTTACTTTAAACTAGCTACTTTGCACCAATAATCAAAATGTGTTTATGCACCTGAGTGAGAAGAATGCTGTCAAACAGCAGCTGTGTTTCCACTTGGTCCTTAGTAATATCAGCATTGGCATTCATGCCAAAGATTTCAGGTGAGGGATTTAGAGGTAGTGTCTTGGTGTACTCAGTGTAGCTGTTATACTGAAAAGGAAACAATCAGCTTCTTAATGCAATACTAAATCCATGATGGTGATGCTAAATAATGGCATGCACTTAAAACAGGCTACCCTTGAGATTGCTGACATTTATAATAATGGCTATGCAAATGACATTCATGAATAAAAGATTTTGAGAGAAAATGCCAAATAAAATTGGGCATAGATTATACATGTGCTCGCAAATAAATCAGACATCACCACTGGCAGCAACCCGCTGTGTTTAGTTATTGAATTTATAGCTCATAATTCCTTTTCAGAACTTTCATAAAGAGGCAGACCAATGCCTCTCCAAAAGATGCATGTTTTTTTGTTTACCAAAGTCAATTATATCTGTAGGCATTTTAAACACAGCCGTATAATGTGGGAGGGATTCTGACCCACGAGCTGACAAACACCTTGACTGAGCTTGTACAAAGACCAGAATTGTCGTTTTTCTCTTATAATTGCTTCCTCTTAGGCTTTGTTTTGAATGAGAAACATTGGCTTGCAGAGGTGCATAAGGTCTTCTTTTGAAGGAAATATGATGAAGGATGGAAAATGAAGCCTTAGTTCAGTTTGGTTTCTGGCGTTATCTCTGTAGAGAATCTCTTTGAATTTTATATGACAGAAATATTGAACTAGCTTTAATGTCAGCTGTGGAAATTTTGTGACATAACCCCTCTAGAACTGGACAAGCTTTTTGAACTATAAAATGTGTTCTTTAAGGATTGATAACTTAATCAACTCTGCTGTATCCATCTGATGATTCTAAAAAAAATCTGCTCAATCCACTGAAAAGTATATTGATATTCTTTCATTTTCTTGTCTTTTTTGTGTCATTTTCATAGGACTTTTTATACTATATTTATTGTATTTTTTTTTCTTTAACTTAAGATAGGAATAATCTTTGACTTGATTTGAACTGTTTTCAACATTGATAATTATAAGAAATATTTTTTGAGCACCAAATTAGCATATTAGAATAATTTCTGAAGGCTCATGTGACACTGAAGACTGAAATAATGGCTGTTAAAAATTCAGCTTTGTCATCACAAGAATAAATTACATTTTGAAATATATCAAAATAGAAATATATCAAAACAGTTATTTTAATTTGTAATAATGTTTCACAGTATTACTGTTTTTATTGTATTTTTGAGCAAACAAATTCAACCTTGATGAGCATAAGAAACTTCTTCAAAAAAAATTAAAAACTTTCCAACCTCAAACTTTTGAATGGACATATAATATGACAGACTGAATATGCTGTACATAGTGTGTCTTACATCTCCTTCTGGTGGTGAGTAATACAGGCCACTAGGGTCAAACTTGTAATCAGCATTGTCAATGATCTCGGAGGTGTAGAAGATGGAAAGGATTGTGCTCAGGGTTCTGCGATCCCAGTCGTCTGTGACACGACCTCCGTAGTTACACTCTCCTGTCATGTAGCGAAGAGCATCAAAAGGGATCTCCTAATAAGAACAAACAAAACGAGTGAAATTACCATATAACCAAAACTAAACGTAATAATATGAACTATATATAACATGGTGGATAAACCTTGGGATGGTCAGACTAAGTAAAGGAAACAGATGACAAATCCACTTCCCTGATGAACCATTTTTGCAACTCAGCTCTTTTTGGACTGAGGTGAAGCTAATTGATCAAAAACAAGAGATGTTTGATTCCTCATGATTATGAATCACCTTACTTATCATGAGTGCTATTTATATATTTTTTGAATAGTGTGGCTACATCATTTTGACCATGACTCATGGTGAGGGCTGTGCCCCAACTGTTTCACCCTATTGTTTAGATTGCTTTAAAAAAAGAAAAGAAAAACCCAACAACAACCTTTTCATGTGTCTTAAAAGCATGGCCGCTCAACAAAGGCTCTTTTTTATTAAGTGGAGGTGCATGTCAGGCTAGTGGGTTCAATATAACGATCTTAAGGCGGGATATGAAAAGATGGACAGAGGAGTGGCAGGATTGTGACATTTCCCGTTGAAATTTCCCTTGCTAATGCAGTGGGTGGCACTCCGTAGCACAGGAGAAATGTCAGAGCATTCAGGGAGGCTCTTGATCAGTTTGTGCAGTCTGCTTGTTTTGAAAGGAGGAAGGGAAGTATGAGGAATGCTTCTCTGAAGTTGGGAAAATGTCAAGAATGCTCTTTTTTTAGGGGTGGTTTAAAGGGGCGCGCTGGAAAGCATGAAAAGGAAGAGGGTGATGTGAAGAGTGTGTGTGTGTGTTTCAAGAACAGTAAAAGGAAATTTGTTTGTGTGTGAATACAACGACGAGACAGGTACACGTGTGATCTCACCTCATACTGGTCCAAGAACATTTGTAGCTGCTGGACTGAGATCCGCAGGTCTGTCTCGTTGAACTCATAAGGGATGTTCCAGCCTAGAGGACCAAATTTTCTCCTCTCCTGGGTCAAGGCGTGGAAGAAGCACAGGCTGAACAGCAGCTTCTTAAAGACAGCCTGAAAACACACAAACAGATGCCACTTTTCTTACACATAACGGAGTTCAAAAATAAACATTAAGACCATCAAAGGATATGCATCATATTGAGAGCACTTTAAAAACCCTCTGTGAAGGACCTACCGGCTTTGAGCTACTGTCAAAGAACTCAGGGTCTGATATGGGGTCCATGCAGAAAGAACGGATGATGTTGGAGCGCAGCCCCTTGGGAGCCTCATTGGTCATTTTGACTCCGTTTTGCAGTACAGCCACGGGAAAGTTGGGAGAGGGGTAACTGGTCAGCCACAAGCGGAAATCTGGGTGAGTGGTATCTGGATTCAGCTCCTGCAGAAAGTCAAAGTGCTGCTTCATTTCCATTGGTGGACCTTGTTTTATGTAGTAGACATGCACACATTGACTATGAACAGCTACCATCCCATCATATTTGGATCATCTAATCTTTATGTACTACCTCACAGACACGCTCGAGGGTGGACATCCAAGAGGTGGCCAGGTGGCAATTCTGTAAAACCACCCAGGCTCCCTCCTTGACGCCAGTCTCAATCATGCCCATGGCGATGGGGCCCTGACCTTGTCCCAGAGACAGGGAGGTCAGTCTGTTGCCTGTGAAACCCTGAACAAAAAGGCAGACATGGTGTGTTAACAATAGAAGAGCATAACCCTTCACACAAGACATCACACATAACAAACCAAAACCCTTAAAGGGGTGGTTGATTGTGATTTCACTTTTTTAACTTTAGTTAGTGTGTAATGTTACTGTTTGAGCATAAACAATATCTGCAAAGTTACCACGCTGAAAGTTAAATGTAAACGGAAATATTGTCTCTTAAAATTATGGCAGTTTAATGCATACAGTTATGGCTGGTAGGGACTACAACAAGCTACTTCCTGGGTTGGTGACATCACAAACCCTGACATTTACATAAACCCCGCCCCCAGGAACAACAAAGGGGGCGAGGCCATGCAGCACTGCCTTAAAGGGGTCATATGATGTTGCTAAAAATAACATTATTTTGTGTATTTGGTGTAATGAAATGTGTTTATGTGGTTTAAGGTTAAAAAAACACATTATTTTCCACATACTGTACATTATTGTTTCTCCTCTATGCCCCCCGCCTTTCTGAAACGCGTCAATTTTTACAAATTGGTCTGAAAAGCGAGGTGTGCTCTGATTGGCCAGCTATCTAGTGCCTTGTGATTGGCCGAATACCTCAAGCGTGTGACGGAAATGTTACGCCCCTCACCATACTGTGATGGTGTGTCCCGACCGGAGCAACAGGTTCTCTTGTGAAAACCTGGCAACCCTGCCCCTTACCATACTGTGATGCCTGTGACGGAGTGACGAGACAAAAACATTAAAACCCATTATAAACGCGGCATTTGTTGCATCCAGTGGGGACATAATTATGGATTATAATGACTTATACTGTCTTTTTACGTGTTGTGTTGCGTATTGCTCCGCGTAAACATAAAACCATGTCTGCATTTGTGATCGGAGAAATGACTAACAACAAGCGCTACTCTACACTGCTCAAAACTAGCGTTTGAATCATCAGTGGCCAATCCTGAAAATGAAAACGTACTTGCAGTCTGACTCAGAACAGCCAGCATTGTAGTCTACTCTCCCAGGATCAGTAAACAGTCCTCCATAAAATGTGCTGCACACATCTGAATATTTGGGTTGAACTGTTCTGGAACAGTGATGTAAATACAACTTAACCACTGATTTCTAGTCATGTCCTCTTTTGGAAGGCC